AATCCCTCACTTTCTGTTTCTGAAAATAAGAGGCACTGTGAAAACAAACAAAACAAAACAAACAAACAAACAAACAACCTAAATGATTCCAAACAAATAGTGGTTCAGAATCCAGCTATAAGCTGGTGTTTCCACAGTTACCATTAATATTTGGCCTGAAGTTTAATGAAGCTCTTAATACTGTGAAGATCATCTTCTTTTTCAAGACTAAGCTTCTAACGTGGTGTGTCAATCTTCATGCATTCTTTTTTCCACTATGGGCTCCCATGGGTGTAGGCTGTGCTCTTTGTAGGTTTGGTTTGAGCTTTTCCACTTGCAAATACTACTGTGTGTCTCACAGCAGAGGCCCTATCTCATGTGCAGTTAGGAAGAGCAGCTTTGGGATTCAGACTTGCCATTCACAAGTTGGTCCAGTCCCAATTGGTTCCTAAACAACCAGTGGCAGTTGTCCTGGTGATACTGTGAGGGTTTCCTTCCTTCTGCATTCATTGTCTGATGTGTGACAAAAATGAATGAGGTCTGCATAAGTAGAGTCTGAATATTTATTTCTGTTTTCCTTTCATAGTTGGTTTGGTTGATCTGCTGCTATATGGGACTTCTGCCAGACTGACTTTCAATTCTGGTTCCCACCTGAATTTTCTCCTGGGACTTGACCATAGATGGAGGAATAAGTAGCCTACGACTGATCTTTATTTCCAAGCTTCCAGCACTACTTCTGTCTGGGACAAGATTTTGCTTTGAGATTCCTTTGGAAAGACTTGAATTTCAAGTGTATTCTGACTCTGCCTCCTACTGGACTGGGTAACTCTTCCATTGACTGATGTTTTTCTTTTCTTTCCCTCTCTCTCTCTCTCTCTCTCTCTCTCTCTCTCTCTCTCTCTCTCTTCTCCTTTCTTCCTTTCAGTATATGTGAGTGTGTGTGAGCGTGTACGTGTGTGTGTGTTCACCTGTGTGTGCATATGTAAAAGCCAGAGGTCCATGTCTGGTGTCTTTTCCTATTGCACTCTTATATTTTTTTAGACAGGGTTTTCATTGAACTTGGAATTCAGATTTCAGCTGGACTGTCTGGCTAACAAGCCCATAGAATCTGTTCAACCCTGGGGCTGTAGATGGGCATGGAATATTGAAATTCAGATCCCCATGTTTGTACACCAAACAATTTCCTAGTGACCTATCTTTTTAGCTCTTGACTGGACAGTCTTAGACATTCCTCTGTGACCTTTTCTCTGCCACTTGGAATTAGATATTTGCAATGTTGCCACATGACTATCTTAGTCACTGTTCTATGGTGTGAAGATGCATTATGACCAAGGCAACTCTTGTCATACAGACGTGGTCCACTAACATTCTGGCAGGGAGCATGGTGGTATGCAGGCAGGCATATTGCTAGAGAAACGGCTGAGAGTTCTACATCCTGGCCATGGAAAGAAAGCAGGGAGAGAGACACTGGACCTGGCTTGGGCTTTTGAAACATCAAAGCCCATGTGCAGAGACACACTTCCTCCAACAAGGCCACACATATTACAACCAAACCATACCTTCTAATCCTTCTCAAAGCCACTCCTTAATAACTAAGCATTCAAATGTATGAACCTATGGGTATGGGGGTCATTCGTATTCAAGCCACCACAATTCCCAAATACATTTACTCTGCTGCAGGAAGTAGTGGACCTAATTTCATAGTGCCCTCCCCCCACCACCACCATTGTAAGATCAGAACAGATTTGTGTGTGTGTGTGTGTGTGTGTGTGCCTTTTCAAGGTCATGAAACCTTGAAACAGGGCTTGCCAACTGTAACAACAATTGTGCTGGGATGTTGATGGGGACTGCATTGAATCTGTAGATTACTTTTGGCAAAATTGACATTTTTACTCTATTTATCCTACTTATACAAGAGCATGGTATCTTCTTTAATTTCTTTCTTTAAAGACACAAAGTTCTTGCTATACAGGCCTTTCACTTATTTGGTAAGCATTGCCCCAAGATACTTTATGTTGTTTGTGGCTATTGCAAAAGAGTGATGTTTCTCTGACTTCTTTCTTAGCCCCTTTGTTGTTGTATATAGTAGGGCAACTTTTTTTTTTTTTTTTTTTAAGTTTATATTATACCCTGCTCATTTGCTAAGGTGTTTATCAGCTGTAGGAGTTCCCTGGTAGTTTTTCAGGTCACTTATGTAAACTACCATACCATCTACAAATAGTGAAAGTCTGACTTCTTCCTTTCCGATTTATAACCCCTTGATCTCCTTTTCTCTCATTGCTCTAGCTAGAACTTTCCGTTAGAGAGATATGGAGAGAGTGTGCAGCCTTGTCTTGTTTCTAACTTTAAAGGAATCACCTTAAACTTCTCTCCATTCAGCTTGATGTTGGCTGTTGGTTTACTGTATATTGCTTTAAATGTTTAGATATGTTCCTGTTATCCCTGATCTCTCTAAGACCTTTATCATGAAAGGGTGTTGAATTTTGTCCAAGGCTTTTTCAGCATCTAGTGAGATGATCATGTGATTTTTCTTTTTCAATTTGTTTATATGGTGGATAACATTGATAGATTTTTGTATGTTGAACCATCCCTGCAACCCAGGGATGAAGCCTACTTGGTCATGGTGGATGATTTCTCTTGTGGTGTTCTTGGATTGAGTATTTTTGCATCAGTGTTCATGAGGAATATCGGTCTGTAGTTTTTTCTTAGTTGTGTCTTCATGTGGCTTGGGTACCAAGGTAATTGTGGTCTTATGAAAAGAGTTTGGTAATGAACCTTCTGCTTTTATTGTGTGGAACAATTTGAGGAGTATTGGTATTAGCTCTTCTTTGAATTTCTGGTAGAATACTGCACTGAAGCCATTTGGCCCTTTCCTTTTTTTGGTTGGGATGCTTTTGATGACTGCTTCTATTTCATTAGGGGTTATAGGTCTATTTAAATTGCTTGTCTGTTCTTGATTTAATTTTGGTAAGTGATAGTTATCCAGAAATTTGTCCATTTCCTTTAAATTTTCAAATTTTGTGGAGTACAGGTTTTCAAAGAATGACCTGAAAATCGTCTAGCTTTCCTCAGTGTTGTTATGTTCCCCCTTTCTGTTTCTGATTTTGTTAATTTGCATGTTCCCTCTCTGCTTTTTCATTAATTTGGATAAAGGTTTGTCTATCTTGTTGATTTTCTCAAAAAACCAACTCTTTGTTACTTTTTTTTTTTTTTATGGTATTGTTTTCCTGGTTTCTAAATTGATTTCAGCCCTCTAATTGATTATTTCCTCGCCTCGTGTCTACTCCTCCAGGTCTACTCCTCTGGGGTGCGTTTGCTTCTTTTTGTTCTAAGGCTTTCAGTTGTGCTGTTAATTCTCTAATGTGACTATCCTCTGTTTTCTTCATATGTGCACTTAGTGCAATGAACTTCCCTCATAACACTGCTTTCAAGGTGTTCCATAAGTTCGGGTATGTTGTGTCTTCATTTTTGTTGAATTCTAGGAAGTCTTTAATGTCTTTCTTTATTCTTCTTTGACCCAGGTATGGTGCAATTGCGCATTGTTTTGTTTCCATAAGTTTGTAGGGTTTCTGTAATTTGTATTGTTGTTGAATTCCAACTTTAAAGTATGGTGATCTGATAAGATATAGGGGACTATTCCATTTTTTTTTAAATCTGTTGAGGTTTGTTATGATGCTTAGTATGTGGTCGATTTTAGAGAAGGTTCTATGTGCAGCTGAGAAGAAGGTATATTCTTTTGTGTTTGGATGGAATGTTCTGTATTGTCTGTTAAACCCAATTGAGACATAACTTCTGTTAGTTCTTTTGTTTCTTTGTTAGGTTTCTATCAAAAAATAGGGAACACTTCACTAATTTGCCTGTCATCCTTGCGCAGGGGCCATGCTAATCTTCTCTGTATTGTTCCAATTTTAGTATATGTGCAGCCGAAGTGAGCACTTGAACTGACTCTTTTAAGACTATTGTTTTAACATCAATATTAAAGGAAAAAGTAAGGAAAGACAACAATCCCAAGATTGGCACAAAATAACCTGCATGTGCACATTCTAAATGCAAAAATCAAACAAACAAAAAAGCAAAACAAAACAAAAGACCTGAATTGACATTAAAGACATTTTTACCACCCTGATTTCCAGAAAACTCCAGGTTTCAGGTCCCTAGAAGCCAGAATTGTCAAAACAATCCAAAAGTTATCATTTGAATGTGGTTGGAGCAAAGACTAAACATACCATGTGTAATCTTCACTACACAAATCCTATGTGAATGCATTTTCTAAACCACAAATTGGTCACATAATCTAAACGGGAAAAGAGGTAACCCCCAGAAAGCAGGTGGACTGTGCCTAACACAGGTAGAAATAGAAGGACAAGGGCCCAGCTCCACAGCCGCCTCCTGCAGGGTTATCTCCAGCTGCTGGTGGGTCAGGCTATAAGCACTGGAGGACAAGGAGGAAACAAGCAGAGGACCATGTGTGTTCAGCTCTCACAGCCTCAGGCTCCAATAGAATGCTGAGTTCTGACTTCTCCCACCCAAAGGCCTCTGACTCAATTGCTGTCAGTGACTATAAGTTTCTACCACAGTTGGCAAATAACTGGTTACAATTCTGTCTAAGAGAATAACTTCTGAAGTACAATTTAATTAGAAGATATTACCAATTCATAGGATTTCACAAAATAATACAACGAACCCACTGGCATAGAAAAAAAAATACTCAATTATACTGCTATGCATCCCTGTACAATAAATACTTAAATATGAGACCTCATTGTGCAATTTGGGCTGTCCTGGAATACTCTTATGTAGACCAGACTAATTTCAAATTCAGAGATCTGCCTGCTTCTGTCTCTCAAGTGCAGGTATTAAAGGGCATGTACCACCCTGCCCACTGGAATATTGAAAACCACAATCCAAAGTAAGTGACATACAGGTTATTTAAATACATAAAATACTTTTGGGGAAAAAAACAGGCAACTCTGCTTTTAAGTTTTAAAAACTCAAAACTTAAAAACTATGACTCATACTGATATGAGAAAATAAGACAGATTTTTGTTTTATTTCAGGAAGTTAATGTCTTTTCACCATGAACAAGGAAATTGCACAAATAATAAGTATTATCAGCATCATTTTCAACAATTTTTCATTAATATTTGTTTTTAAATGCAACCAGACAATTCACTAGCAGTCACTCTTGCAAGCATCCTCATACTGCTTCTTCAACAGGGTCTGAGCTGGAACTAGCAAGACAGACTACAAGAGCATGTGCATATTTCATCAAGACTTGGTCTGAAGAACTCTGGAATTTAAAAAATAATAAAATTTACTTTTTCTTATGATTTTGTAAAATGGCTACAAAGGCTTTATTAAGGGGCAACTTCCAAAAGATACCCTATTATACCCATGCAAATGTAAAAAAATAACAGTTTGTGCTGGGTGGTAATGGCACACATCTTTAATCCCAGCACTTGCAGGCAGAGGCAGGTGGATCTCTGAGTTCCAGGGCAACCTGGTCTACAGAGCAAGTTCCAAGGTAGCCAGGGCTACACAGAGAAACTATCTAGAAAAAAAGTACACAAACAAAAAACTAAGGGACTGAGGGTTTTTAATTTCTTAAGGACTAAGTCAGAGATATCTTTTAAGGTTAAAATCAGCAGATTGAGGGTTACTGGAAAGTTACGCCTCTAACTTAAGAGCTTCAACTTCTCTAGATTAAAAAAAAAAAAAATAAGTAAAAGGAGGGGATGAAAGGAAAAGCAATGGATGATTAAAACTGCAACTTTTAATTAATTTATTTATTTAAAAATTTTTTTCAAGATGGGATCTCACTGTGTACTGTAGGCTGGTCTGGAACTCACAGACATCCCCTCAGTTCTGCCTCGTGAGGGCTGAGATTAAAGGTGTGCGGCACCAGGCCCAGCTGATACAACTAGTTCTAGAGTATGTTGTTCAGATGAGAAGTCTTGACTGATGGCCTCGCCTTATTTTCTTCGGCTCTTGCGGTAGTCTCACAACCACGATTACTGTGATGACAGCTTCTCATTCAGCTCCAATGTTCTTTTGTCACCGTGAGCCTCAGCATTCTTCACCAACACCTGTGTCAAATCACAGACAGAAGTTCTGGAAGCCATTTCAAAGGGCGACACTAACCACAGCAATGTAGCTTTTCACTTTTGCTGTCATAAACTACTTGACTAAAGCTAACATATAAGCATGTTTAGTAGTAAAAATGTTGATATCTTGATGGTTATAATTATTAGTTGTGTATAAAATTAAGGATTTTGCTTACGTTCCTGTCACCTGTAAACCCTGACCCCACATGAGATTGTTCTATATAGAACTGTCCTGATGACAGTGCCCTGTTTAAAACCATGGCATACTATTTAAGCTCTAAGCTTTAGGCTTTGTCAAGAAGCTTTCCATAATTGTCACAAATTGCACAAGTTAGAAGCGGCAATTCCATCAACTTGTCCCATTGTTTCATGCTGTCTGTTGTCAAGCACTGTGTTTTAAAAGCATGGCACTTTGCTCTTCTTGCAAACCAGCAAGGCAGTGAATGGCAACTTCAAGGCTCTGCCAGACAGCACAGGACTCTGGTCAGAAAGTGACTGTGTTAACAGTTTGTGCTGGGTGGTAATGGCACACGTCTTTAATCCCAGCACTTGCAGGCAGAGGCAGGTGGATCTCTGAGTTCCAGGGCAACCTGGTCTTCAGAGCAAGCACTGACGCATTGTCTCCATGCCTCTAAGGGGGGTGATGTGGATGGATACACACAGTTTCCCACCTGTGCAATGAGCTACATTATAAGAGGAACCTATTCTAGAAGGGGATGCTGTTTCCAAGGCTGCTCACTGTTAAAAACACCATAAAAAGATTACCCAGAAGAAAGTGCACTTGGGACCTGATTCACAAGATGCTCAGGAATGCATTGGACACTGATAAACAATCTACAGATTTTGCTAGGTAAGGGTTTTGATCAATACCTACCAATTATAACCCTCTGTAGAGTTCATAAATGACTTTTATATTTGTCATGCTCTTCACAGATCACAGAAAAAAAATACTACCTTTTAGACAAGCGCCTTAACATTTTACACTTCTCTTTCACCTAAGAAAGCTCATAAACTACACTGATAGACATATTTGTTAGAATAACTTTTAATCTAAACTTGTTGTTTATGGTTCTTTTGCAATTATTTATTTTCTCTAAATGGCTAAGAGAAAATTTATTATGGAGCCAAATATGAGTGACCATGCCCAGGGACTTGGATTTAGGTTACCTTAAATTCCATGCCCCAACATGGCTAGCAATTTCATGCTATTTCTATAGTGACAGAACAAAGAAAGTCATGAATAAAAACACTTTTAAAATCCATTTAAATTCTATTTACTATTATATGCACGGGGTGGGGTGAATGTGGACGTATGTGTGGATGTCACAAGAAACTCTCAGAAGTCACTTTTTCCTTCCACTGTGGACTGTAGGGATGCAAGTCAGGCTTTCACAATAAGAGTGGTTACCTGATGTGACCTTGCTAGCCCCTCACATGCAATTCTTTAGAACACAGCTCACACTGACCTTGATAGAAGAACCTTAAACCAATGCCCCCTACCCTCAGGACTAGACATTAATTTGGATTTTGGACTCCAAATGGTTATTATTCTCAACGAAAACTTAGTTTGGCTTCTACTGAATCTATCTTTAACTACTTTTAAGCACAGCTTTAATACCCTGGCTTTTCATGTCAAAAAATCTTAGCTCTCAATATTATAATACCAAAGTAAGAATTTTATAACAACTGTATGTAAAACATTAACTAACCAACCACACATTAAATCTTCAAACCATGTACATAACTATTTCTCTACTTTTAGCAGATGCAACATTAATCGTAGACAAAGAATTTGATATTCATCTTTTAAAATTTCACTAATAGGGTAAGTTTGGAAAGATAACTCTAGTATTTTAAATGAAGTTAGCAGCTTACATCAATGAGCTCATGGTCGTTTTTGGCATAGAGGTGTCTTAAGAGGTACCAACGTGCAGTCGATACAATTGAGTTGGGATAGCCAGGCTGATACACTACTCTCTCCAAGAGTCGCCGTGTCTCTCTAGAAGAAAGACATTCAGGATTACTTCAAAGCACTTACGTTATTATGACGGATTTTATATATAGTCTCATACAGTCATTACCTTTTCCATTCATTTGAAAATCTTACCTGACTAAGATTTTTAAAGTAACAGTTATTTTTTTTTTGTTAAATGTTTACTAGGCATAAAACACCATGACATTTAGTCATACTTAATGTTTACAGCCTTACTGCTATTGTTATTCATACTGCAGACATGCAGATTAAAGCTCATTCAACATACAAATGGGGAGAAGATTCCAAACTGTGAGCCTCTCTGGGTGTTTGTCCTGTAATCTCTTTTGACAACTGCAGGAAAATATTTATGATCTCTATAAGACATGTGTAAAAATCAAGTTTTTAGAGTTTACAAGGATATATATATATACAATATGTGAACTCAACTCATATATTACAAAATGATTTACAGTTATGTTTTGATCTTTTTTATCTAACTTACTAACATTTATGATACCCCAAAACTCTTTAGTTGTAAAAATAACATAAAACAACTAACTTCAGAACTGCTAAGTAGAAGGATCCTATAAACAGCAACTATTTTCAGCTAAAGAATTTGCCTTGAAGAAGTCCACGAACAGGGTTACATCATAATCATAGTTTCTTCCTATACTGCATATTTAGGGCTAATTTTTGAAAATGATAACAGTGGTGAGAAGCATAGGGTCACATGAAAGCTTGTGTTTTTATGTCACTCACAGTGTGAATCTGCAGGAAGGCTCCTTGGGTAGTTTACAGACAGAACACTTCTCAGTGAAACTGTACATATGTATGCAAGCATAGGACATCTCCCAGCCACGTGAATATTATAAGTAATGCCAGAGTTGTTGAATAGCTGCAGGATCTTAATCCATCCTTCAGTGTTATTTTGTTAGGGCTCATTTTTTGAGAGGAGCATATTTATATACAGTGAACTCACTATTCCCCCCACCGAGGTTTTTTTTTTGTTTTTTTAAATTTTGTTTAAATTAGAAACACTCTTATTTTACATATCAATCCCAGTTCCCTCTCCCTCCCATCCATCCATGCTCTCCACCTACACCCCCATCCCCCATCCACTCTCCAGGGAGGGTGAGGCCTTCCAGGAGGGATCATCGAAGTCTATCACATCATTTGGAGCAGGACCTAGGTCTTCCTCCATGTATCTAGGCTGGCAGAGTATCCCTCCATAGGGAATGGACTCCCGAAGTCCATTCATGCACTAGGAATAAATACTGGTTCCACTGCCAGAGTTCCCACAGACTGTCCAGGCCTCCCAACCAACATCCACATTCAGGGGGCCTGGTTCAGTCCCATGCTGGCTCCCCAGCTAGTAGACTGGGATCTGCAATGAGCTCTCTAATTCTATGATACCTATTTTAATTCAATGTCAGTTATGTTTATCCCTAAATCACTGTTTTATTTATTAGAATCATGTGTTATTTTTAAAAGAATTCTCCCCCTATACATATGACTACTAAATAATGTTCTTCATATTTGTAATCCCCCCACCAAACCTCTAATAATATTACCAAAATTTTTGTTTTAATTTGAACAGCCTTTGACTCTTCTAGACATGAAAGCACATATTTACAAATAGATTTGTTTTTTCAACATTTGTTAATTTTTCCAGTTTGTTAAATTAGCAAAACTTCTATTAATATAACATTAAGCCAGGGTCACTCTGATTTTATCTGCTTCTAGAATCCACACTACACAGCTGCTTCATCCTAAAATAGAAGAAGAAAAACAAACAAACAAACAAACAAACAAAAAACCCTCAAGGGCATCCCTATGTGAAATGCTACCATGCCAAACTTGTCATATGTATATCCATGAATCATTTTTTGTTAAATAAATAAATATTTTCTTCTGTATTGTAACACAAAATGAAATGTTCCTAAAGTAGAGGTATAAGAATACCCCAAAGCTTTCAACACTAGTTTATCTCATTATAAGTCCTCTCTTGATCATTTCCTAGGAGGCTTTACAGTGAAGTAGGATTTCCAAGCCAAGAACAAACACAGTTCATATACCTTGCTCCCATCTTGCGGTTGAACTGTAACAAAGCTTGCAAGAACACAGCCAAAGGACAAAAGCAAACTTTCAAGGCCTCACTTGTGGCCTCTTGAAGCAAGGATGACCAATGATCTCCGGGAACATTAGCCTAAAAAAAGTGCAAAATAAACATTAACTCAAAGTTTTGACATGCTCACTTTAAAAAGCACAGTGCTCAGCTCTCACTACAGATTCCCTTCTTGTCCATCACCATACAAACACTAAAGGAGCAGAACCTTAATTACTACAAATGATCTAGGACAAACAGGGTACACTTAGATAAGGGAAGATCTCAAAAAGAGTCATTTTATAACATGAAAACATCATGAAAGAAAAAGACATAGATGAGAACCATGTTAGTTAGTTATCTTTTCTTTTTAATTATGGTTTTGGTGGTTTGAATAGGAATGCCTACCGCTCCCTCCCCAGCATCCCATAGGCTCATAGATTTGAATGCTTGATTAGCAGAGGGTGGAACTATTAGGAGGTAGCTTTGATGGAGGAAGTGTGCCATGGACCAGTGTCTATTGCTCTTCCTGCTACCTGCAGAACTAGATGTAGAACTCTCAGCCACCTTTCCATACTAAAAAAACAAAACCAAACCTCAAATTGCACTAAGATTTCTTAATTACAAGTATTACAAGTCAATTGTTTATTTCACATTTTAATGTAACCATATTAAAAGAAATACATAAAGCAAGTGTAACAAATATATAGTCCATTTCACTTAATTGTAAGAAAAATATTAGAGCAACAGCCTCTAGGTATAATGTGAGCAAGAGTAGTTTGTATAATCAAGGAAGATCAATACTTAATGAATATATAAATGGATAATGGAGGTTGTTATATATCTTTTGTATATATGAGAGCAGAAATAAAGCAATATGTGTATGTATGTGTATATATATATATATGTATATATACATATATATATAATAGAAACTTACATAATTTTCCTGCTTCTCTTCCCTCCCTTCCTCACACATGACCCCTAGTTCTCTTGAAAATTCATATCCTCTTATTTTTAATTGTTTTTATGTATACATATAAATCACAACTACCAGCGCAGACAAGCTAACCCTTACAGTGCAATACAGGTAAACTTACCTTAGCTATATCCAATAGCTCTCTAATTGGACTTATGCAACAAGAGGCAAACCTATGACTGAAAATTTAGGGACTACTTGGGACTAGTAGTAAGGTGCTAGCCACTTTCCTAAATAAGTACAACCCCTAAATTATAAATACTTTTGCTTATACCCACAGAGAGGTTAGTTCTTGCCCCTTCATCAAAGAAACTTCTCTTTACAACAGATGGATACCATTGCAGAAAACCTCACATTTCCAACTGCAGAGAACGAGGAACTGTGTGGTACCCCAAACTGATGTATCTATAAAACAACGATGCTCATCCTTTTACAAACTATTAACACGAGCTAGGGAGGTGATTCTGTGGATAGGGTAGTTGTGCAAGCGTGAGGACCTGAGCTCAAATCTCTAGCACCAAGTTAATGCTTGGGTTGCAGGTGGGGGGTGGTACTAGGAAGGCAGACACAGGGGGGAGGAGGGCAAGCCGGACTAATGGATTGGTGCTTCCTGGTTTTAATTAACTCAAAAGGTAAGACGGGAAAAGACTGAGGAAGAAGCTCAACACTAACTTCTGATCTCCACACCCATGTACCACACACATATGAAACTCTCATTAGTCCTTTTAAAAATATACTCTCTAACTTCTAAGAAATCAAACCTTCCTTCTAAACATACTCAACAACATAATCAGAACATACTTTTGGTTTCATCTCCCCAGCTCTTCAAAATTTATTATTGAGCTGTAAAACAGTGTTTCACTCCTTTAATCCCAGCACTTGAGAAGCAGAGGCTGGTGGATCTCTGAATTCAAGGCCAGCCTGATTTTGCATAGCAAATTCCAGGCCAGCCAGGGCTACATAGTGAGACCCTGTCCCAAACAAACAAAATAAGACGACGATGATGATGATACCCACTACAGACATTTTCTTTGTTTTTCTGTGTATAAATAACATGGAGGAAGGGAAGGTCTATTAAGGAAGGGGAAATAGAATACAGAAGTAGGGAGAAACAAGGGGGACACTGGAGCAGGAGGATTCAATGTGGAAGGGCATGGAATAGAGGAATAAGGAAAGGGACAGCTAACACAGTCACTGGAAATATCATATAGAAACCTACTACTGTAAAAGAATCCTAAAAATATACACGGATGAAAGAAATCCAAATGGAATCAGCAAATAATAGGTGAGACAATGCCTCAACTAGACATCTTTTGCCACAGAGTGAAAACCTGAACTGCTAGGAATGGGTTATATCTAGTTGAGTTTTTGGCCAAAAGGGTGGCACAGAAACCCTCAAACATCTAAGGATATTGACAAACTATTAGTTGCTCTCCATAAACTGACAGTAAAGCCCTATTAGTGAAAAATAACACATACCTATCTCACTGAACACAGAGAAGTTGGGCTGGTGCCTAACTAGAGCCCTCACCCCTATTGACTGGTGTACATGGTACTGGAAGGTACACTGTACTAACAAAGAGAGGTAAATACCAACTCTGCTACAGGTCCTGAGATCGACAATAGTGACCTGCATGAATGATACACTGATGCAATAATGGCACAAATGTGGGGGTAACCAACCACCATCTGATTGAAATCCACATTCATTCAACATGGGAGTAACCAACCACCATCTGATTGAAATTCAGGTTCATTCTATGAAATGGAACATTGCTCAGATGGTCAAAAACTCAAGATTAGATAGGTCATGGATCTAGGGGAAAATAAATACCATTGTTTTGCTAAAGGACAGCAATAAAATGACTCCTAATGACATTTTGATACACCCATAGATCTGTGCCATTATCAGCAGCAGATGGGCACTAACATAGAGATCCACAACTGGACAATGTACAGTGAGAGACTTTGGAACAGTCAGTCCTAATGTCTTCATCAACTGCCCCTCTCCCCTCAGGGCTCAGGGAATATGTGGAAGAAAACACCAGAGGGGATGGATGAGTCTAAGAAAACAGTATCTTACATATACAATAGGACAAACACACAGCAACTCACAGAGACTGTGTGACACAGGGACTGCATAACATCAAACTAAATGGGGGCCCAGCGCTGAGAAGGGAAGGTAGACATGAGCTCCCTTTCCTAGCTCAGAAGCTATCTCCAACTGACATCTGCTTGTTAAGGAAACTTTAGTTTTCTTCAATAGAGAAAATTCACTAGATACATTAATCATACTTCAGAACTCACTGGTACATTCATTAACCACACTTCAGGGTAAGCCTCATGCCCAGCAATAGGACCAACACATAAACTCAATGGTATTTTCATAGACTTTTTGCCTCATATTGCTTGTTTGGGCATTTGATCGATCCTTTGCTTGTATATTATAGTCGCCAATTCTGTATTTTCATGGGTTTAATTTGTATGAGTGTTGTGTCTGTGTTTTATGTGCTTTGTCTTTTAATTCTGTTTTGTTTTACTTGTCTGTTTATTTTCCAAAGAGAGAGAGAAAGGCATAGAATTGGGTGGGTGGGTGGGGAATGTCTGGGAGGAGCTGGAGAAGGAAACTGTACTCAGCATATATTACATGAAAAACATTATTAAAAACTATAATAACAATATTAATAAAATTTGTTATAGATTTTGTTTCTGAATATAAATTATAGTAGGACTCCTGACTCACATCATCTTGTATACATTCATTCACTATCTCAATAAAATATATTAAAAAAATAGTTCAATTACTATGGAAGGGCATTATCTAGTCTCTCAAAACCCTCCTGTCTTCATGGTACGGCTGAGGTCCAGCAAAGCCATGATAGCACATTGTTTCTCCACTGTACTTCTGAACAAATGGTATTTCCAGGTGTACATGACATTTTCTTTGGGTCACCAAATAAAGACATGGAGACTTATTATGAATGTCTGGCCTTAGCTTAGACTTGTCCCACTAGCTCTTTTAACTTAATTTAGCCTGTTTCTATTCCTCTATATTTTGCCTTGGGGCTTTTTAGCTTCTTTCATTCTGTATGCCCTGCTTTCCTGTTTCCTGCGTGTCTGGTCCCTAGTGTCTCCATGTTGTCTCGTTTTCTTTCTTTTCCAAACTTAAATTCCCCCTCCTACTTATTTTTCCTGACCGGAAGTTCCACCTATGCCTCCTCTGTCAATACTGGCCATTCAGCTTTTTATTAGCCCAACCAGCTGCCTAAGGCAGGCAAGGCAAAACTGTAACACATCTTTACATAGAAAAAAAAAAAAAAAAAAAACAACACATCTTTGCATAGTTAAACAAATATTCCACAACATCCAGGCCCTTAGTAAGTTTCTAGACGGTTATATTTGGTGAGTACTACAGTAAGAAATGACATGAAGCTCTCTAGGCCTTATAGATTTTAAAGCCATTTTCCTCGGGCTAGCTTTCTCAGGCTTTCAAGTTTGGGGTTAGGTGCCATTTGCAGTTCTCACCACACATACCACAGGTCTCAGCACAAAAAACAAAGTGTTTAGAAATCACTAAAAATGTGACAATTGCAAGTACAGAGCATTAAAGCCAGTGTGGAACCCTGTGTGGTGGCATGGAACACATGTCCATTAGCAAACCCCTACAGATGCTTCTCTCTCACAATAGCACTAAATCCCAACAAACCCACTGCAAGTTGATAATATCATATATATCAAATAGGATCACATCATATAAATTATTCTTCAGTTAACTTCACTCTCACATACATGCTGTCTTTGTAAATTTTCCATACTGACACATAAAACTTTTTGGGTTAATCTATGTACTGACATCAGAAAATGGTATATCATGTCACAGAGGTCTCTAGAAATACCTTGAGAAATGAAATTGAATTCAGAAAAAAAAAAAAAAAAGTTAAATCCTGGCATAATAGCAGGCTTTGAATTCTTAAGTTACCAAGAATACACTCTTTGACTGTCCCTAAACAATTAAGAAATCCTGTTGTGGTTTGTGAGTTGCTGTCACTCTATATTCCTCCAGAACTCAAGGTACAAAGTTCACAAGAGACCACAGCAAAAGATAATGAAACAATGGGGAGAGGTGCACAGAGTTTCACTATGTGAAATATACACTTAAAAAGGAAGGAATGAAGTTTTTATGATAATTATTACATGCTTACCATGCATACTTCCAATGCAAGCAGTGCTAGCTTCAACAGACTCGAGAGCTTCCCATTCCAGCTGCCCTGTTGGGATGCCACTTGCAGACTCTTTCTGTAACACATCTCTGCGGCACCCATCATTCCTTGGGACTGATACACCTGTGCCAACCACTAAGGGACAGAAAGAATGACAAATGCAGAACATTTGAGTTTCCCACAGTCTGGTTCCCCACTCCCAACAGGTTCAACCAACTCTAGTGAGTTATTTTTTAATTCAATTATCAGTATGCTCTATGTCCCCCAAAACAATGACGGTAATCACATTGGTTATTCTGCCAGCAACAACTTCCTAGTCATATCAAGATGAAGTCTAAAGAGACTCCAAAGATGGCAAATCAAGAATATCAAATTACAATGCAAAAACTATTGAATATACTACTTAATACTGATCAAAAGCAAGTTTGTTCAGCTGAAGTGCTATCCAACAATGTAGCCTTTAAGCCAGAAAGAGCAGGACAAGTTGATACTGTAACAGCCCTCCTTCCTCATAAGCACTGCTACAGGTGTAAATCCCCAACAACATAGAATGCACTAGAAAAGGCTAACAGAAACCAACAGTAGGCAAGTTCTGAGTGGCAGGCCATTTTAACATGCTTAATTCAGCAGTCATATTAAGAAACAGAAAAAATTAAAATTCAGTAAAGAGACAAAAGATACCAGCAATGACAAGTTGGATTTATACTACCTACTTAAAAGATGTAATCAACAACTGCACAACACATTTTTCAACTTCATCAAATTTGACTTTATGCTTGCTGGGTTACAAAACAAATCTTAAACAAGACATGTTGGCTTGTGTTAGAATCCCAGCACGCTGAAGGCAGAGGCAGGAGGATCCCAAGTCCCAGGACACCCTGGGCTACTACTGAGACCCTGTATCAAAAACAATCACAGAGACTACACTTCAACAACTAACCACTGGCCCGAAATCATAAAATTACGTTCTAACTAAATGGAATTATGCTTGAAAATATTAACAGAAAAATATCTAGAATACTCTCATATAAGAAAATCTTCAAGATGCTTCATATAAAAATAAAATAATACCAGACAAAGAAATCCCAATGACAATTAAAGAGCATTTTGAAACAAATAACAATAGAAATGTTACAATAGGCTTCCTCCTTGGAGTCTTCTCACCAGGGAACTACATGCAGTCCCTTACTGCTCCCTGAATCCCCCAGAGACCTGGGGCAGCCCAAACATCCCAGTGGCTATCACCATTGGCGTCTTGGATCTGCCTGCACCCACTGAGAGAGATGAATGTGTGGCCTTCTCCTGCCCACCTTCCAGCCTCCTTACTGTTTCCTTACCCAGGGGCTGCACGTAGTCCCATACCGCCCACTGAACCACCCAGAGACCTGGGGGCAGACCAAATCATCCAGGGTCTGCAGCCCTTGGAGTCCTGGATCCACCTGCACCCACTGGGAGAGAGCCTTGGACCCATACCCACTGTGAGAAGGAGAGAACACACCATCATCCACTAGAGGAAGGGATGGGAACACGTCAGTGTAAGAACACATTCAACAACAGAAATACTAATATGATACCACCAGAGTTGATGGATTCTACACCAGCTAGACCTGAACATGCCAATGCAGATGAAGCAGAAGAGCACAACCTTACAAACAACTTCATGGAAATGATAGAGACCCTCAAAGAAGAAATGAGAAAATCCCTTAGAGAAACGGAAGAAAAAAACAAACAAACAAATGCAAGAAATGAACAAATCTCTTAAAGAAAACAAGAAAAGCCAAGAAAAAACAACCAAACAGGTGAAGGAAACAATTCAAACAGCTCAAGACTTGAAAGCTGAAATGGAGACAATAAGGAAAACACAGACTGAGGGAATTCTGGAAATAGAAAATCTGGGTAAATGATCAGGAACTACGGATGTAAGAATTACCAACAGAACACAAGAGATGGAAGAGAGAATCTCAGGTATTGAAGATACAATAGAGAAAATAAATTCATTCGCCAAAGAAAATATTAAGTTCAAAAAATTCTTAACACAAAATATCCAGGAGATATGGGACACTGTGAAAAGGCCAAACCTAAGAGTAATAGGTATACAGGAAGGTTCAACTTAAAGGTTCAGAAAACATATTCAACAAAATCATAGAAGAAAACTTTCCCAACGTAAAGACAGACATGCCAATGAAAGTATAAGAAGCTTACAGAACACCAAATAGACTGGACCACAAAAAACAAAACAAAACAAAACAAACAAACAAACAAAGTGCCCTTGCCACATTATAATCAAAACACCAAATATACAGAATAAAGAAAGAATATTAAGAACAGCAAAGGAAAAAGGCCAAGTAACATTTAAGGGCAGACCTATCAAAATTAGATCTGACTTCTCAATGGAAACTCTGAAAGCCAGAAAGTCATGGATACATATTCTTTTTTTTTTTTAACATTAGTAAATATTTTAATAGAAACAAATACAAGTCATGTTTTGCACTTTACATTGAATGCCACCATGATTAAATAGATAGTCATCTCACTGTAGAAACCTAGTACTGATCATGAAACAAAGATTTCTCTATGATAAAACTGTGCTTTTCTCTTTCATTCAGAATTTAATTATTGGGTATTGTTTTAGTATCACATATATTTACTCTTACATAATGCATAATGTTTTTTACCATTATATGTCACTGGGCGTATTTTCTAATTTTATTATTCATTTACTTTATCCCCCTGTCTTGCCTCCTACAGTATTTTCCTTTTCTTATTCTTTTGTGACAGGGTTTCATGCATGCCAAGATACCCTCAAATTGGATATATAGCCAAGAGTTATTACTTGAACTAATCTCCTTGCCCCTGTTCTCCAAGTTGCAGAATTATAGGCATGAGTTACCATAGCCTATTTCTGGTCTCCTCTAAAACAAACTTTTCTCCCTCAATAGTTACATACCTGGAACACACCTACTGGAAACACAGGGCAGCTGTCAGAGTCACTATTTAATTATCCTGAAACTCAGTTTTCAGTCCTTTCTTTAATGAAGTCTAGTCAAATTTTTACATCTCTAATCAAGGCTATCCCATTTAAAATTCTCATTGGATCTGTTTTTGATTACTGTCTAGGAAAAGTTAATTATGTTTATCATAACCCTTTATTTTATTTTGTAAATCAGATTCCTCTTAATAATGGATACATATTCTATAAACACAAAGAGACCAAGGAAACCAGCCCAGACTACTATACCCAGCAAAACTCTCAATCACTATAGATGGAGAAACCAAGATAGTCCATGACAAAACAAGATTTAAACAATACATAGCCACAAATCTAGCCCTATAGAAAGTATTGGAAGGGAAATTCCAAGCCAAGAAGTTAACTACACTCACAAAAACACAGGCAATAGATAATCCCACTTTACAAAAAAAAAAAAAAAAAAAAAAAAAAAAAAAAAAGGGAAGAAATCCATGCAATACCCCAACCAACAACAAATCCAAAACAAAAAAGAACCAACAATCAATGGTCATTAATATCCCTCAATATCAATGGCCTTAACTTGCCTATAAAAAGACACAAGATAACAGAATGGAAATGAAGACAGATCCATCCTTCTGCTGCATAACAAGAAACACAACTCGACTTCAAAGGCCAATGCTACCTACCTCAGAGTCCTAAAAACAAGCTGGTGTAGCTATCCTAATATCTAACAAATTAGACTTCAAACTAAAATAAATCAAAAGAGATGAAGAAAGGCATTATATACTTATCTCAGAAAAAAATCCAACAAGATGAAGTCTCAATTCTGAGTATCTATGCCCCAAATACAACGGCACCCACATTCCTAAAAGAAACATTACTAAAACTTAAATCACACATAAAACCCCCGCATACTTATAGTGGGAGACTTCAACACCCCACTCTCACCACAGGACAGGACTACCAGACAGAATCTTAACAAAGAAATAAAGAAACTAATAGAAGTGATGACCCAATTGAGTTTAACAGACATCTATAGAAGATTCCTTTCAAACACAAAAGAATATACCTTCTCAGCACCACATGGAACCTTCTCTAAAATCGACCACATACTAGCCAACAAAGCAAACCTCAACAGATACAAAAAATTGGAATAGCCCCCAGTACCTTATTGGATTACCATGCTTTAAAGTTAGAATTCAACAACACAAATTGCAGAAACCCTACAAAATCATGGAAATTGAACAATGCTCAAATGAATCACTCCTAGATCAAGGAAGAAATAAAGAAATTAAAGACTTCCTAGAATTCAATGAAGGCACAACATATCCAAACTTATGGGACATTTTGAAAGCAGTGCTAAGAGGAAAGTTCATAGCACTAAATGGAAAATAACAGCACACATGAAAGCTTTAGAAGAAAAAGAAATAAAGTCGCCCTGGAGGAGTAGATGCCAGGAAATAATCAAATTGAGGACTGAAATCAATAAAGTATAAACAAAGAAAAAAATACAAAGAATAATGAAACAAAGAGTTGGTTCTTTGTGAAAATCAACAAAGATAGACAAACTTTTATCCAAACTAACAAAAGGCAGAGAGAAAACATGCAAATTAACAAAATCAGAAATGAAAAAGGGGACATAACACCAGACACTGAGGAAATCCAGAGAACCATCAGGTCATACTTCAAAAACCTGTACTCCATAAAACTGGAAAATTTAAAAGAAATGGACAATTTTCTGGGTAGATATCATTTATCAAAATTAAATCAGAAACAGATAAGCAATTTAAATAGACCTATAACCCCTAATGAAATAAAAGCATTCACCAAAAGCCTCTCAACCAAAAAAAGCTGAGGGCCAGATGGTTTCAGTGCAGAATTCTACCAGAAATTCAAAGAAGAGCTAATACCAATACTCTTCAAATTGGTACACACATTAGAAGCAGGGGGGTCTTTGCCAAACTCTTTTTACGAAGCTACAATTACCCTGGTACCCAAACCAGAAAAAGATACAACTAAGAAAAAGAACTACAGAACTATCTCCCTCATGAACACTGATGCAAAAATCCTCAATAAAATACTGGCAAATTGAATCCAAGAACATATCAGAAAAATCATCTACCATGAACAAGTGGGCTTCATCCCAGGTATACAGGGATGGTTCAAC